GCTTCACTATCTGTGAACTCCTCGATCTCCGCATTTTCGTCGAGATTAACCAATTTCAACGCAAGATGCTGGAAATCGCATGAATTAGAGAGAGATCGAAAATTCAAGCAGCTAAGCAGGCCTTCAAGCAGTAAAGAGAGGCAAAATAAAAGTGGAGTAGCATGCGTGAGCTATCAACGTTAATTCCAACCAAATAAATTCAAAAAATAAACAATCAAGCGTGGTTTTATGTTGCCATAGATGCTACAGCAAATCATATCTCTGAAAATAGAGTTTGCTCACAAAAACACTTGCTTCAAGCCTTACTAAATCCCGTAGGAACAGTTCTTAGTATAGCGCTCACTTTCTCCTTCAAGCCGATACAGTAGGTATGCAGTGGGAATCACAATGGAATATTCTCTTTCACCCACACAAAACAATAAACACATCTTTCTCAAGCGGTTAGTGAATAATGAGTTGTAGTGGTGCAAACATTCAAAATTGTGCTGTGGCGCTGTAGAAGGATGGCCTTCCGAATCCATGAATTCCACCATGAATGGAATTCACGAGAAGGCAGACAAAAACCGAAGAAGAGATGAAGAGGTGAACTTAAAAACATGCACAGCACACAACCCTACGGTTAAAATGTACTTTTATAACATGCGCAGGCTCACTTGTTTGGATCCGCTTCCAACAAACAGGGAAAGCTAAAAAGAAAAAATATGTCCGTAACAAGGAAATTTTGGAAATGAGACAAACCATGCAGTAGGAGAATTGTAGAAAGGAACTAAAACAGATTTTAGAAGTCTTTATGGAAGTGAAAAGTTAACTTATGAGAGCACTGTTACGCGCAAATCCTTGCCCCTGATTGGAAGAGGCCTAGATCTGATGTGGACGTGTTTCAGAGAATAACGCCTATGCAGAGCGCTATCAGGATCCCATGCCCCTTTTTTTGGGTAGTTTTTACACTTTGCCGGTACTTATTGGTAAAATGCGACGAGTCGGTTTGCAGAATGCCATTGGAGCATTTAAAAACGGTCAGAGGAAAAAGACCGGCAGACCTCCGTATTCTAACAAGATTCGCATTGACATATCAAAGGTAGCCTCGATTTTGCAATGGATAGGTGCACAAGGATTACAACCCAATTCAGTTTCGAGCCCCATTCAACACCAAACGCCCCCATAAGAGCCCTGCATTAATCTAATTACATTTGCATAAGCAAAAACGGTAAAATAGACGAACTACTCAAGCAAATTAATTAAACAACGTATTAAAATAGTCGGGAGTATTTCTAGAGACAGATCAATCCGTGATCCCATATGGACAAATGGCTTGTTTAAGAAGACGTAAGCGAGGAGGCCCCCGAAAACACTGTTCAGGTGACTGACGCTCATGTATAAATATCCCTGTGAATATTTACGCGCTCCTACAGATCCAATGGAAGACAGTTAATTGGCTGTTTCAGAGGATTTTGATTTGAAAAAAAAACAAGGGTAAATCGTTATAACCAACATTGTGCGAGCAATCCTGACCAATACGGCTGCGAGAACGTCCAGGCCTGTTTACGAAGGCTGGATCAGAATCCGAATCAAACTCATCGTCGTCTGCATCTTTCACTTCTTCTTCGATCTTTTTCACAATTGGAGCGGTTTCTTCTTTGCTCTTCGATGGTTTCTGAAGTTGAAACTAGGTCGATTTTTATGTTTAGAAACCTCCGCCAAGAATATTGATCGAATCACATACTTCCCCATGACTGTGTCCATGTCCTCCACCACCGTGAGAGTGCCCATGACCACCGTGAAACATTCCAATGCCAATCATATTGATAAACAGGCCGATACAACCCACTACCAGTACCTGAATATTGAAGATGCATGGAGTGATACACAGAATTAAGCAGCTGATCAGTATAGCGAAAAACTGTAAATTTCGGAAATTTCTGAAACAGAAGAACGATAAAGATCTGAAAGCAAGATTCAAAGTGACCCTGCCACTTTCATTTATTTCAAAACAACCTTAACTAAAACTGATAAACTCTTTTTGGTCAAATTGCTAGGCATCAAGAGTACTGTGATTCTCGGGACGAACATGTTTTGTGTTTTTAACGGACTCAGTGGTCGACGGTTTCTCGACAGTGATGCGTTTCATTTCGGCTCTAATCGGAATACGAGGCAGCATTGGGCATCTGGGACGGCCCCCTTCAATTTTCAGTTTCCCAGTTGTCCCGAAAGAGTACCAAACTCTAGTTGCGATGTTAAATAAACAAAAGGGAATCAAACGTTTTATGACCCGTCAGCGAACTTATACATGGTCACTTCCTTATCAGTACCTTTCTGGCTTCAATTTAAATTCCCTGATTGCACGCATTCAGTGCAAACGCATATTTCCCGGAAAATCCCTGAAGAGCATAACTTGATTCCAGAATTCATTCACAGATGTAGTCATGTAGATCCAAATGACTAAAGACCCTTCAGTGCCAGATCAATGACAAAGAAACGAACTGCCTTGCTGTCTATAAAAGTCCTTCCTATTTTGACATTGGGCTTCCTGGCATGTGCCTAGGAAAATAATCCAATAAAACTCATACCTGTAGCGGATGGGATATTCGTCGCGAGTGGATCAGTCGTCCAATAGACTCTAGCGATATAGCAAAGCACATAGCTAATAGAAATACACCGTTTACTAGAGCTCCCAGAACTTCGGCACGAACCCATCCGAAACCGTTCCGTTTCGATTTACGCCTCGATATCTGAACCGATAAAAGTAATGATTCAAACCATGTCTGGTTATTCTCCGAAACAAAGAACGAAATTGCCATGTCTGAGTCCTTATTTTCAAT